CCTTCCTTCCTTCCTTCCTTCCTTCCTTCCTTCCTTCCTTCCTTCCTTTCTCCCTCCCTCCCTCCCTTCCTTTCTTCCTTCCTTCCTTCCTTCCCTTTCTTTTTTTGAGACAGTGTTTCTCTGCGTAGCTTTGGAACCTGTCCTGGAACTCACTCTATAGGCCGGGTTGGCCTCGAACTCAAAGAGATGCACCTGCCTCTGCCTCCTGAGTGCTGGGATTAAAAGGCTTGTGCCACAACCACCTGGCTCCTTTTTTATAACTTTTTAAAGGCACAAAATACTTGATAGTATTTCAATTCCCAGTTAGCTAGCAGGGAAAACAAATCAAGTGAGTTTCTGTTTCTCTGTTAGGAAATCAACTGTAAAAGGGAAGTCTTCTGCTCTTGCATGTGTGGAACTGAAGCTTTCAAATTTGAGATTTTGATATTTATATAAATATGTTTAGCATTGTACCTTGGTAAACAAATTGAACCTGTTTTCTTGCTCAGGCAATATTTGCGGACTCTGGGCTAGGTTAAGTAAGTTGACCTAGAGTCACATGTCTTCAGAACCCAAAGTAACCCAGGGTTGTCCAGAATGGCAGGGTTACTTCTGGGAAACACCGTTCATTGGTGCAATTACGTCATCTTTAAACATATTAGTGTGTATGAAGTGGCTGGAGGAAAAGCAAACCCTGGCTCCTCGCCCTTACAGCCTGTGGTTCTGTGTTTTTAAAAGCCTAATAACAGACATTAGCAGTGGTAATTGTATGTGTGTCTTAATAGCAAGACTTTTGGTCTGAGGTGTTTGCTTATTGCTCACTAACTACAGCAGCTGGTTCTGCTGTCAGCTCTCACTTTATGTGTAAGGCTACCAGACAGGTCGAGGTGAAGCAGGTGACCCAAGGCAGTAAGTCTAGGGAACTGACCAGGCAGTGGTTGTGCAGGCCTCTGACTTTCCGATTCACAGAAGTGCTGTCCTGTCCACCACTGTGATGGTGTCTCCTCTGAGATCTGTCTTTGCAGGACCAACGTATGGGTCAACACTGAGCATCCTGTGCTTTGTTTGTGTGGTGTCCTCAGCTCTTGGGTGACATCTGGGCATTGTTATTTCACTACCATTTGGCAGTGTAATGCGACCGGGAATCCAGGGTGTATTACAGAGACAAGAGAGCCAAATGATCAAGGATGGAGAGGAGCTGTGTTATCTGAACTTTATGCTTTCGTGGGAGGCAGATTATAATTCAGTGTTTACCAGATAAGGCTAAAAATATTGTGGCCAGATCTTCCAAGAAAGGTTATGCAAAGGAAATGTTTCTTAGAATTTAAAGAATTACATTTTTTAGGCAGGGTATCTTTAATCCCAGCAATTGGGAGGCAGAGGCAGGTGGGTCTTTGTGAGTTCAAGGATAGCCTTGTCTGTAAGGCAAGTTTCTGGACAGCCAGGGTTACACAGAGAGACCCTGTCTCAACAATAGCATTACATTTTTTCATTTGTGTGTTTGGAGGGGCGGTGTTCATACCATGGTGTATGGTATGGAGAGGCCAGGACACAGCTGGTGGGAGTTGGTTCTCCCCGGGAGGTTGAACCCAGGTCAGCAGGGTTGGTAACAAGTCCCCTTACCTGCGGAGCCATCTTGTTGGCCCATACCTGGTACAAGGAAGTTAGACTCAGCTCCCTGCCGCCCCCGCCCCCGCCCCCACGTTAGCATAGCCAGCATTCTAAGAATGCACAGTGGTTATCTGTGATAGAGGGGTGGACTTCTGTGGACAGATTGGTGACCTTAAGCGAGTCACCTCACGTGACTCAGCCTTCCTCTGGAGAGCAGGCAGTTGTGAGGGCTGAGAGAGACACACAGTGTCCACAGTGCACACAGTACAGTGCTGGTCAGTGGCTCTACACGGCTGCTGCTTTTATTCTTGTGGGTAGTTTATGTTGCTTTTATTAGAACCTTAATTTTTTGGGGATAGTACTTATTTTTATTTTATTATTTGTTTTGTTTGTTTTTTGAGACAGGGTTTCTCTGTTGCTTTGGAGCCTGTGTAGACCAGGCTGGCCTCGAACTCACAGAGATCCGCCTGTCTCTATTTCCTAAGTTTTGGGATTAAAGGCGTGCGCCACCACCCAGCTACTTATTTTCATCTTATGTATGTATTTTGCCTGTGTGTATGCATCAGTGCCCAGATGTCAGAATGTTTTGGACCACATTCGCGCACCATTCTGTAGCTGGAGGCCGCTTATTCATTGCTGGCCGTCCTGACCCGAAATAATTATACAGAAACTGTATTATTACAACACTGGCCTATTAGTTTATACTTCTTATTGGATCTTATATCTTAACCCATTTCTATTAATCTGTGTATTGCCACATGGTTGTGGCCTACTGGTAAGGTTCTGTCTGGTGTCCGGTGGTGTCTATCTCCTGTAGGGGCTCCATGGCTTCTCCTCCAACTTCGCCTACTCTCTCTTCCTCTATCTGCTTGGAATTCCTGCCTTGCCCTATTACAGGGTTTCTCTGTAGCTTTGGAGCCTGTCCTGGAACTAGCTTGTTAACCCATAACCCTGCCTCAGCTGCAGTGGTCCTAGAAACCTCGGCTAGCTCTCTCTGCTCCTGTAATAAAGGCTTGGTTTTCCTCCTGCATTAGTTTGCCCAGGCATTTTGATAGTCCCTGCACATTGAATTGCTCGTGAGATCACCAGATCAGCTTCCTATGAAAAAGACTCACAGGCTGGATTTCCTCGGTCGATTCTGTGTTCCTTTCACTGTGCCCTTCCTTCCTTCCTTCCTTCCTTCCTTCCTTCCTTCCTTCCTTCCT